TACAGCTTCTTGTCAACAACAAGGTTTAATTATAATTACTCTTCAGCAGGCATATACTAGCACTTCTTATCTGTCAAATTGAGCTTAATGAAATGAAAAAGTCCAGAGAGAGACCCCATCTTTAGGACAACAGAAGACTGAACAGTCAACTCCTCATCATTTTTGTAATCCAAATCACTGTTGTCAGGATTATGTTCAGCTTTTTTGTTTTTTGTTTTGTTTTGTTTTGTTTGACAGAGTCTTGCTCTGTCGCTAGGCTGGAGTGCAGTGGCTCAGTCTCAGCTCACTGCGACCTCTGCCTCCTGGGTTCAAGCGATTCTCCTGCCTCAGCCTCCCGAGTAGCTGGGATTACAGGCGCGCACCACCATGCCCAGATAATTTTTGTATTTTTAGTTGAGACGGGGTTTCACTGTGTTGGCCAGGATGGTCTCCATCTCTTGACCTGATGATCCGCCCACCTTGGCCTCCCAATCCCTCCATGTAGTCAAAAGCAATAAAACTGCTGCTCTTCAGGGAACGTTGGGAAATTGTGCACAGATGAAAGAATAAGTCTGTTTTTTCTCTCCTGCTAGGTAAGTAAGCCTAATCCCAAGGGGAAAAAATACTGGCTGTTGGGCATTGACTTCCACATTCACTTCTTGTGTTTCAAGATTTGAGGTAGTGATGATGGTTAATAATATATTCCTGAAAAATGCTGAGTGGATGTAAAGTGTTCTCACCACAAAAATGGTAACTGTGAGGTAATGCATGTGCTAACTAGCCAGATTTAGTCATTCCACTATTTATATATACACGCACCTCAAAACATGGACATGTACAATACACACAATTTTCTTTTTTTTCTTCTGAGATGGAGCCTCCCTCTGTCAACCAGGCTGGAGAGCAGTGGTAGGATCTCGGCTCACTGCAAGCTCCGCCTCCGGGTTCACGCCATTCTCCTGCCTCAGCCTCCCGAGTAGCTGGGACTACAGGCACATGCCGCCACGCCCCGCTAATTTTTTGCATTGTCAACAGAGACCGGGTTTCACCGTGTTAGCCAGGATGGTCTCGATCTCCTGACCTCGTGATCCGCCCACCTTGGCCTCCCAAAGTGCTGGGATTACAGGCGTGAGCCACTGCGCCTGGCCAATACATACAATTTTATGTCCCTTTCAGTTTTTTAAAAATTTAAAATAATTTAAATAGATAGATAAAGGATATATTCTTTCCACCCAGGAAAAAAAAGATTTGAGTTAGTTTTCAACTGATAACTACATGGGTCTATTCTGGATTCATTAAAAATACAGTTATTGGTAGTCTTTCCTATGCTTTGTGGGAGATTAGTTCCCCTTCCCACTCTGCAGTATCTGTTTGCAGCTCTATGTTTGCCAGAATTTAGGATTAAATAAGTCGAACCTGCAGTCCAGCTCAGTCCCCAAATGATTGTTGTTTCCGTGGAAACAGTTGAAGGCCTCTCAATTAAAACTGCCTCTGCAGACTAGGGAGAGTAAGTATTAAAATGAGTTTGTCTGAGTAGGCAATTTTCATCCTCCAAATTAAACTCAGAGAGTGCAAATGATCTAGGAATCTCCTGACAGTTGGGATCATACTTCTTTGTCTTTGGGGCAGGGATTATTTTGATATTTCGGGCATAGGTATGTTTGCTAGCTTGCTGCTTGCTTTGCTGAGTTGCGCAGATCGTCTTTGTTACCCGCGGAGCTCTTCGTGTACAACCATGGATCATGGGCGAGGGTTTGGGAGCAATCTGATCTTTGTCCAGACTTGTGAGCTGCAACTAAAAAGCCCATTAAAAATGGATGAAATCATAGAACACTCTTAAAGTTGAAAGGAATCTTAAAGGTCATTAAGGCCTAATTTCCCATCCACTTTGGGAATCTTTCCTAGAACGCTGTTGACAAAGGTTCACAGCATCAGCTCCCCTGTTGGGGAATCTCGTATTTCTCAGGGCAGCCTTCTTTGGTGCATTGAACAGACTTGGTGATATTGTTAAGGGGGTCCTTGTTCTTAGAGCTCCCAAGATGGTGGCCGCCGCTTCCAAGATGGTGGCAAGTCTCTTGTTCTCTGACCTGGGGTTCTTGGCCTCAGGGATTCCAAGGAATGGAATCTTGGACCATGTGGTGCGTGTTATAGCTCTATTCAACTCGCTTGGGATGAACCCGGGCGCTTAGCCCATGCAGGAACAATGGCGATCCTCTAGCCCGATTGGGAGCGGCAATGGGTGCCTTGCTGGATCAGGAGCACAGTGGACACCCTGCCGGATCCGGAGGGGTGGAAGTCAGCTGTGGCGTCTACAATGACGGCAATCAGCAGTGGTGGAGGGCGAGCGAAAGCTCAGTTCAAACCAGAACAAACACGGACCAGAGAGTGTGCAGTTGCAAGATTTAATAGAGTGAAAAGAGAGCTCCCATACAATGGGAGGGGACCGAAAGGGGGTTGCCCACTCCCAGCTCAAATGCCTGAGTTTATATCCGGATCACGGTCCCTCCCCCTGTGCTCTCAGACAATATAGGATTTCACTATTTGTTTACCTCCTGCTTTAGCCTAATTTGTATTTTAGTGAGCGCTCTTTTCTACCTGATTGGTTGGTGTGAGCTGAGTTACAAGCCCCGTTTTTAAAGGTGGGTGCGGTCACCTTTTCCCAGCTTGGCTTAGGAATTCTTAGTTGGCTTAGGAAATCCAGCTAGTCCTATCTCTCAGTATTAGAAATGCCTCTTTATGATGGAACTGACATTTCTGTCAGTTCTGCTACTGCCACCTCTTCTTTCTGGTGCCAAGTTAACTGTGTCTTATTCTCCCATAATTAAACTTAAAATCTTTTAAGAATGTTTTCATGTATACCCAAAGTCGTCTCTCTCTTCCCGTGACTGAGAAGGTCCATAACATGAAAACTTCAGGTACTAACATCTGTGGTTAAAGGCATTCTTGGGGGAGAGGCTGGTATCCTAACAATCCTGGGCCTTTACCACTGTTGCTTGGATTTTTTATTTTAAGTTTATTTTTATAGAGAAAGGGTTTCACCCTACTGCCCAGGCTGGTCTCAAACTCCTGGCTTTAAGCGATCCTCCCACTTCAGCCTCCCAAAGTGTTGGGATTACAGGTGTGAGCCACTCCACCCAGCCTGTTGGTTGGGTTTTGTCTGACTTCTCTGGCAAGTTTTTTCTCAGCATCATATGTATAGGTATTTCTGTGTTTTCCTTCAGCCTTTTCCCCCCTGGAGTAAATATTCATAGTTCGCTGCTTGGAAACCCAAGAAACAAAACTGGATCAAACCTTGGGTCTATGCAGCCTCGTGAAGGGTGTGGTTGCCTTCTTTGATGTCACCTAAGAAGTTAATGAATACACCCTCAATCCCAACTGCTTTAATAGCCTTTCAGCCATTTGTCTGTGACATTAAACCTTAGACTTTTTAAAATTAGGTTTAAGTTTTACATTTTAAGAGTTCTTTATTCCCCATATGCATTCTGTTCTTAATATCTTATTATTGTTCGTAAGTTGACACCCCCCTAAAGGAAGAAACAGGCAGAAAAAACATAGAACAAATGAAATATGCTTCTCCAAATGTTCCTACCTGCAACCTTTAAATGGATTAAAACTTAAAACTCCTAAGTTCAGATGTTGATTAGTGCTGACTGGGATGTACTGGGAAGCAAGTGTATGGCCCCTGCTTGGTACTGAAATAGACATTGTGTACTGGTTTCAAAGAAGCAATGGCGTCTGTCACCTTCAGCCAGTCACCAAACTGCTCTGAGTTCCATTTTCCTCAAGTATAAAATCGGATGATTGCTTCTTGTTCTTACAGGTTATTGGGAGTGCTTTGAAAACAATTTTTTAAATTATTAAGGCTTTACAGCAAACTATACTGTGATGCTCTGGAGGTATTTTGATTTGAGAGTACCAAACAACTTCAGTAAAATTAAAATATTGGTGATATTGGCTGTTTAAGGCCCATGCCCATCCACAGCTTCAAAATAATCTTGTAACATAGGTTCTGGGTGGTATTTGATGTGGTATCACACATAAGGGAAGAGGGGATTTCAGTAAAGAAATGTCATTGTTTGTGGAAAAGTGAAATTACTCAGGGTCTGTTTGGTGTTCTTGTGGCAGAAGAGTAAGAGTTGAAAGTGAGGAAGTAAACTTTGATTTGTAAATCTTTTAAATTTCAACTCAAAGGAAGGTGGTAAGAAATACCCCAATAGCAAGCTTCAGAACAGCCACCAGAGCAAACCACACAAGGCTTTTGGGATCTCAGGCTAATAAAGGTCTCCCATGAAGCTCAAGAGTAGATCCTGAGGTACAGTTTTTTTCTTGGAAAAAAAACAAAAACAAAAACAAATTTGTAGGTGTTTGTAATCGGGACTGGCTGCTGTGTTAGTTTTCAGCTTCTAGCTCGACCCTATTTCCAGAGAAATGCCAAGGGCTTTGCAGTAGGCATTTGTCTAACTTTTGCGTGTCCTGGGTCTTAAAGATGACCTCCCGCTTTCTGGGGGGTCATGGGGTATGTGTGTTTTTTATGCATCTGTCTTTTTTTGCTTGTGTGTTTTTACTGAAGACCACTTATATTTGCAGACGTTGAAACCAAAGGTAACACCACATCTTCTCCTTACAGGGTCTGAGGACTGTTTCTTGGCAACTTTTTTTCTACATATAGTTTTCCCAAAAGTATGAACACATTTAGACATTGGAAAGAAAGCAGTTTCCCTCCCTCCTTCCCTCCCTCCACCCCTTCCTGTCTTCCTCCTTTCCTTCCTTTTCTTTGTTTCTCTCTTTTCTCTATCTTTCTTTCTCTCTCTTTCTCTCCCTTTCTTTCCCTCTCTTTCTCTTTCTTTCTCTTTCTCTTTCTCTCTTCCTTTCCTCTCTTGAGTATTAATCACATACCTGATAATCAGATGCCCTCTGCAGGTTTTCTTTGGGAGGGGAAAGGACAAATGCGATAGTCTTGACATGTTGGAAAACTGACCCCACATCCTGGTGCCTTGTTGTGTGTTCTTTTCTGCTCCCAGGGAGTTCTGTCCAACATCTCTTCCATCACCGATCTCGGCGGCTTTGACCCAGTTTGGCTCTTCCTTGTGGTGGGAGGAGTGATGTTCATTTTGGGATTTGCAGGGTGCATTGGAGCGCTACGGGAAAACACTTTCCTTCTCAAGTTTGTAAGTATCCCACTGTCTACTCTCAGATTGAGAGCCAAAACGTCACCTTCCATCAGGGGGTCACCCTATCTACAGGCAAGACAGTGAGCTGTACCAAAGGCACTGGCAAAAGTAGGGCCCAGGTCATTATTTTCTTTTGAGAGAGCTCTCTAGCCCTGACTCCCAGTCGTGCCTCCTTAATAAGTACACCACCACCCCCACGACCACACCGTGCCATCCATGGAGATTTCGTGCATATATATCACAGACTTAGATTCTATTCCCTAAGATATCTTCAGGACTAAGGTAGGTGTATATATTTTTCTTCTAAGTGATTCCTCCCCACCGTTTTAATGCACATAGTAGGTGGGGAACTGTGCAGGTCGTTGGTTTGGAGAAACCAGGCAAAAGCACAGTGACTGTGGCCTGTCCAGATTAAATCTGTTAAGCAGTAGGTTTTGCTAAATATGGCAAAACACTAAAAGGTAAAGCTCCTTTGTCGTTAGCTGGTACAAAGTTCTCCTTTGTAATTTTTAGATGTGGTGTGGTTGGTGTGATCACTGTCTTGAGTGAATGTTTGTAGAGGAGAGGTTTCACCAGGGGGTTCATTGGTATTTAAAGTTAAAATAGAGAATGAAAAGTGAAAGCCTTTGTGTTGGAGACTCCTTTCAAAGGAGAAGAAAATGGCATGTGCCATTTATGTATCTTAGATAGGGTTGTTGAATGTAGCCAAATGTGCCTGTCAGCATGGAGCTTGGCACTCTGGTGGGCGTCTGAATCATAGCCCTCTATATGAAGCATCCATTCCCCTTTCTAAGAACAGAGAAAGGATCCAAAGCACCCACCTTCATTTGCTGAGGAAGGATGGTAGAGATTTCTGGAGAACGGTTGCAGTGTAATATTTCCTGTTACCAAAATTATTCCCAACTTTTATTGACACATCATCATCCAGGGACATTTTCATTAAAAAAAAAAAAAAAATCCAAGAAGTAGTCCAGTAGTCATGTAATGTGTGATTGTCTTCCCCAGCATTTCTGCCACATCATCCTCCAGCATCTTTTCTTAAACATCCCTGAGAAGAGGGTACACGCTGTGCCCCACCCAGGGCAGCCCATTTCTGAGCAGCTCTGGCTCGGAGAAGCTTTTGGAGGCTATTTAACCTGAAAATTAGCATGACTCATTCTAACAAGGAAAACCAAGGGGTACCTGGTCTTACAGATAAGTTCACAAGCAGCTGGTTCTCTCTTGTGGATACACTGGACCACAGTGGCTGTAGCTAGTTTCCTAAGACTCCATCTGCCTTCTCTCTCTCTCTCTCTCTTTGCTACACACACACACACACACACACACACACACACACACTCTCTCTCTCTCTCTCTCTGTCTCTCTCGCTCTCTCTTTCTCTCTCTCACACACACATACACACACAACCAAATGCTTCATTCTTCACCTAGTCAGAAACCTGGGGAGCCCCCAGGAGAGCTCTGTCCCTGATCGCCACCTGCCAACCTGCCAGTCTTCTTGGCATGAGGCATCTCAGTGCTCCCGTGTTCAGCTCACCTCGCCAGCTTACCTCACCACCTTTCCTGTAGCCTCAATGGGTCCTGGTCATACTCATCTGTTGCCAGTATTTTATTGGTTTCAGCCTCCATGCCCCAAAATGTGGGATCTTTTTTTTTTTTTTTTTTGAGATGGAGTTTCACTCTTGCTGCCCAGGCTGGAGTACAGTGGCATGATCTTGGCTCACCGCAACCTCTGCCTCCTGGATTCAAGTGATTCTCCTGCCTCAACCTCCCGAGTAGCTGGGATTACAGGAGCCTACCACCATCCCTGGATAATTTTTTTATTTTTAGTAGGGATAGGCATGAGCCACTGCACCTGCTCAGTCCCGTTAATTGTGATTTACTTTAATATAGTTTCATTTATAGTGGTAACCCCTTTAATATAGTTTATCATTTCTTATAATTGAAATGTCCAGTGTTGACTGAATAGGCCGAAAACTACAATTTCTCTAAATCAGCACCTTAATTTATAAAGTCTCATGTTGGAAATGAAGAGAATTGTGTTGTTTCTTGGCTTTTAAGACTTGGAAAATATCTTAAATGGCCTCTCTCCATTTAGTACAAACAATAAAAACTGGCCTGGAATAATCTTCGAACAGGAGGTATGAGATAAGTAGTAAGTAAACGTCCACAGGACTCCAAATAGCTCCAAAGATCTGATGGCCCCTAGGAGAACTGCTGAGGGAAAATCCAGGAACTAAGATACTGCAAAATGGAAATAGACCTTCTTAGCTGACCGAGGCTCTAGGATGAAGCCTGTGAGTCAGTCTCTGCACCTTTGGAAATAGAGGAAATTAGCTCAACAGGGCCTGGGGCATGTAGGTATCTGCCAAATATTTTATATGAATTGAATTTGGACTCAACTTTCGGTATGTATATTATGTAACATGAAGAGAAAATTTACCAGGGGAACTGTAAAATGCAATTAACCTTTATGGAGGTGAGAACAAAAAGCAAATTAAAATCTTTCCCTGACTTGGTGTTTCCTGCTTGTGCTCATGCATGCTAGCTATAATTTTGTCATTTCTGTACTGTGATAATTCATAATTCATATTTACATGCTTAAGGTGGTACCTAATACAGGGCAAGGAGTTATTTACACTGTAGGGTAGGCATTGAGCAGAAGTGGTGTGATATTTTCTCTGGTCATTTTTCTAGATTGGGGAAAGTTTAAATTGAAATTATTGGCATCAACGATGATAATTAAGAACTGTTTAAATTCCATTTCTGGTGAGTTCATGAAGGATATATAACCAGGAACTCTAGGGAAACTTGAAGGGCTGAGCCGGAGGGTCTAGAATTGGGGCCTAAACCTGGGAGTCCAAAAACTTTGCCAAGCGCTTATTTCCACCTTCCACCCCTCCTCCCATGCCCACCCTCACAGAGCAGTACTCGGCACCCTAGACAAACATTGTGAGATCTGCAGACATCTAATGTCTGCAGATACCCACTCCCTGTCCGAGCCTTCCTAATCATGTAAGACTGGGACATCTTTGAAGGCAAGGGGTATGGTCTTATTCATCCTTGCTTCTGCAAAGCCCACCTCCCTCGGGGCCTGACCCATTGTGGATCATTCAGTAGATGTTTGTTGAATGAATAAATGTTTTTTGTCTTTTGTTCTTTTAATGAGTAACTGTTGTTTCCTTTGCACCCCTCCCCAATACGTTTTTCTCTTGGCTGGCAGCTCCTTGTCTGCTTGCTGAAGGTAGAGCCGCAGGTCACCTGAGCACTCCCTGCCTCCTCAGCTGCTCACTGTTCTGCATGTGGCCTTGAGGACCTCTGCCCAGCAGTTGTGGCACCCTGTCACCCTCTCTGCTGTTGTCACCAGAAGTTTACCCGCAGTGTACCCTCTGTTCATTGTACCTTCTCTGTTCAGTGTACCCTTCACAGCTCATTTCTCATAATCTATTTTAACAACAAATTTTGAAAAGGTTAAGAATACAGGATGGTAGGAGGTGGAAAAAACAGTGGGCGTGAGCAGTAAGTCGATATGACTAAGCTGAGACTCTTCTGAGTCTTCTAGATGGAAGGGAAATTTCTCCAGAGTTACGGGCAGTTACCACATTGCCTCATGGTCTTGAGCCCTTCTTTCAGACCTCTTGTTGTCTGCATTAAGCAGAGTCTCCCTTTGGCTGCATTTTGACGTCACTTAAAAGGTTGCTGGGGCCCATGCTTCCTAGAGGAAGGCAAACCCAGCTAGCATTCCCAGGAAAGCCCTCAACTGAGGGTTTCGTTTTGTTTTTATGATGGGAAATAACTTTCATTTCACAGTCACTGCCCATCCCACTACTTCCTCTTTGACCCCTTCATCTAAGATGAACACATCTGTTACTTTACCCTGTATAGTAGGTGCAAAAGAGAATTAAAATGGTGTCTGAATCCATAAAAGAAATATATTGCATAGAGAATCAAGGCCACAGTAACAAATGACAGGCGATCTTAAAATATTGGAATAATCTATCTTTCAAGTTACAGAAGCTTACTAGAGATGATGGCAGGTCATTGTTCAAGCATCTGGCAGTACATTAATCATGAGAAATTCATTAGGCCTTAATGTGGGTCTAATGAGAAATTCTTATCCATGTTTGCTTATGGGCTTTGTTGGTTAATTACCAAATGGACCACTGGAGACCCTAAAATGTGGTTATGAAATGATTTTTAAAAGTCCTTTCTTGGAGTGTAATATTCTATTAATGAATCAGCAGAAACTGAAGATTTTCTACTTTGGAGATGTATAACAATCCAATGTAATTACAAACCTGTTTAGAGAGTAACCATTTAGCTATATATGATCAAAAGAGCCTTCTAACTGTTCTCTGTGTGTCTTTCGTCTTAGTTTTCTGTGTTCCTGGGAATTATTTTCTTCCTGGAGCTCACTGCCGGAGTACTAGCATTTGTTTTCAAAGACTGGATCAAAGACCAGCTGTATTTCTTTATAAACAACAACATCAGAGCATATCGGGATGACATTGATTTGCAAAACCTCATAGACTTCACCCAGGAATATGTAAGTTTAAAGTGGTTTGTTTTCCAGTTGAAAGTTCTCTGAACGATGACCCCAGTGAATATCCCTCCTGGTTTCTGCATCTGCCAGCTGGAAACTACCTGACTATTCTGCATGGGTGTTTGTTTGTTTATTATTTTCCAACTTGCTCTATGACTTACAAGATTTGTATTCTAAATGGAAATGTCCTATTTTCGCTTATGTCAACTTCTGTTAAGTTAGAGGAACAAAGAAGAAAACGCTTGAGCAAAAAGTTCTAATCACGGCTGTCCTTTCCTATTTGCATTTGAGGAACATTGTTTTGCTCCAGGTTTAAAGTTTTATTTGGTTATCAAATATGGATTCTTTCTTATCCCTTGCCCCCTTTTTTGGTAATCCTTGATATTTCACAGCTCATAATAATCTACTTATCAACAGAATAATCTGCCACAGAGTTCCTAAAATGTGCCTATCCAAATATTATTATCGCACATGCAGTTAAAAGCAAAAGCTTAGAAACTCCTAAGTCCTAGTAGCTTCTAACAAGTGAAGAATGTGCGCGGTGGAATCCCGGCCACTCCTTCTGGTCCCTGAGCATTGGAGTCCAAGCCACTCCCTCTGGTCTCTGAGCATGCCTGTGAAATGGCTCCTTCAGTGCCAGCAAAGCAGCAGATGTCCTGTTTCACTCAGAATGCAAGGGACCAAAAGACACAGGTCTAGTGCCAAAATCTGATAAGCGACCCTGGGCTCACAGGACCTTGACCTATTTCCCGAATAGTAAAATGGAAATAATACTAGTTACTATCTGACTCACAGGGATATTATGACACTCATGAGACATACATGTTTTTATATTCGGCTTAGGGTGGTAGGGTTCTACAAACTTGCAGGTCTTTATATACCTGCACTGAAAAGCCGGGTAGGCTGAGCTTGGACTTGGACAGCAGTGTCTGTGGCATTTATGTATGTGGCAGGGCCGGAGGGCAAGCAGAAGCCCAGTGAATGGTAGCCTTCTTGGGGTTGGACAGTTTTCTGCCTGTGATGAAGGGAGGCAGCAGCCATGTCGACATGCGTCATGAGGGAGGCCAACCCCTTCCTTAGGCACTCAGGACTGAGCTGGGTTATGTGGTTTTGTTCAGTGGCAGCAACATTTCGTCCTGGAGTAAGCTGTACCTTAAGTGGGAAGTTAAGCCCTGATTCATGTCCTCAGCTGACTTCACTATTTTATTAGGTCCTAATGGGTGCGGGCTCCCTAATAATCCTTTTCCAGGCATTATTCCTGACTGGATTGCATGACACATTGATGGAGCTTTGTGGGCACACCTTGAAATGCACAACCCAAGCCCTGGAGGGACCATGTTGTCTTGGAACGCTGTGTGCTTTATATGGAAATACTACAGTTTCATGTGACTTTCTTTTTGCATCATGGAATGTAATGTTTAGAAGTAGCTATTGGCCCAGAAGGTCTTCAAATGGTTGAGGGTTGATATTTATTTAACTCAGAGAAGTAGAGAAAGTGCATCCCAGGGAAATGAGGAAGGGGCATCTGTATGCTACCATTCACTGGGCTTCTGCTTGCCCTCTGATACTGCCTTATACATAAATGCCACAGACGCCACTGTCCAAGTCCAAGCTCAGCCTACCCGACTTTTCAGTGCAGGTATATAAAGACCTGCAAGTTTGTAGACCCCTACCACTCAGGCCCCATTTAAGAACCACTGAATTTAACTGCTTGTTTTATGATATTTTAATTGGAAGACTGACTTTTTAAAGTTGAAAATGTGAGACACATTCTCTTGTTTTTAAAAAAATTCAGAGTAGAAACAAATGTGATGAAAAGTTAACCTCTAAAATTTTTGGTGGTAATGGATATATCAACTATATATCCATTGATTGTGGTGATGGTTTTGTGACGTATACAGACGTCAAAATTTATCAAATTGTATACTTTAAAATGTGCAATTTATTGTATGTCAGTTATACCTCCATAAAACAAAACGGATCTTTAAAAAACTGTTAGAATGTGGAGATCAAAACTTTGAAAAAGTAAGCCTATAGGTAGCCCACCCATAACCCCAGTTGCCTCCTTCAGTCACTACCACTGTTGTTCATGTCTTATTTACCCTTCTAGAATGTTCTTGTTTCTCCTTCTAGAATGACGTGCCCAAGCCAAGCAGATCTTGTTCTAACTCAGCCCTGCTGTATAGCTGCTCTGCCCTTCTTCCACCTAACGCCACGGGTCTCATCAGTTGTCTAAATCATGTGCCAACACATCCTTACAAACCTTCAGCCTTAATTAATTAAAAAAATTTTATATGGGCCATTTAGGTTCCATTTGGCTTAAAAATAAAGTCTGGGACAGAAAAAAAGGTCAGAGCTGGCAGAAGCTGGGTGTCGTTCGGCGGGTGTGAGTGTAGGCACCTGCTTGCCTCCAAGTTGGGATGTTCTAATTCTTTCCTGTTTGCTCTAGTGGCAGTGCTGTGGGGCTTTTGGAGCTGATGATTGGAACCTAAATATTTACTTCAATTGCACAGATTCCAATGCAAGTCGAGAGCGATGTGGCGTTCCATTCTCCTGCTGCACTAAAGATCCCGCAGTAAGTGAATGCCAGCGAACTATTGGCCTTCTCTGTACATCATGCTGAGAGTGTGCATGGGATGAGCAGAGTGATTTTTTTGTTGAAACCTCTTCTTACCTGGTTACTCCTATTTGTAGCTCCTGTAGGGGGTATAGTGCTCAGATCTTCCTAGTAGGAGTAATAATTGCTGGCATTAATTTAGCAGTGTGCGCTGGTTTCTATTCTAAGCCTTTATGTGCGTTGGCTCATTTAAGTTGGGCACATTCCTACTGGCAGATACCACCAATACCCTCCCTTTTCAGGGGGAAGAAGTCAAGGCACATGAGGTGTAAGTGACTTTCCCAAGCTTGCACTGCTAGCAGGCAATGGAGTGGAATATGAGACCCAGGCAACCTGCCTGTATCATCTGTTAGCCTTTCTTTATGAGAGGGGCAGGCTCATATGAGAACTCTCTGCATTGGTTTGGGGTTAGTAACCCTTTTCTTTTTGGCTTAGTTCTAGGGAAACTATTAGAAGTAGGAGGAGAGTTCGAGACAAGATAGGGCTGCACTGCTGTGTGGGAAGACCACAGCTGCCTGGACTCCTGAATGCCATCATGACTACAGTCATGCAGTTTGCATTTTATTATAAAAAATAAAATGCAAAATCTATAAATCTCTCACTTTTGCCACAGGTTTAATTATATTTTGGGTCAAATCGTGCCTGGTGTATAGAATGACTTGAAATGCAATTCTTAAGCCAGGCGTAGTAGTTCACACCTGGAATCCCAGCCCTTTGGGAGGCTGAGGTGGGAGGATCCCTTGAGCCCAGGAGTTAAAGACCAGCCTGAGCAGCATAGTGAGACCCCATCTCTACACAAAAATTAAAAAATTAGCCATGTGTAGTGGCACACACCCGTGGTCCCATCTACTCTGGAGGCTGAAACGAGAGGATCACTTGAACCCAGGAGTTTGAGGCTGCAGTGAGCCATGATCATGCCACTGCACTCCATCCTGGTGACACAGTGAGACCACATTTCTTTTTTAAAAAAAAAAAAACTATGTAGTGTTAGAATGACAAGCATGAGAGGTTACTCCGTGCATCTGTATGTGCTCCTAACTGCAGAGCCCTTCTGGGACTCCTCAACGGTTCTCTGGCCCTGCGGTCTCCAAATGTACTCCCCAAGGCTCGCCCTTACCCCCCAGAAGCAGAGGCAAGTGGGTACTGATGAGCTCAGTGGGGTTGCTCCTCCTTATGATGGAGGCTGTGGAGCTCTTAAAAGGAGCTGTGGTCTTGGAGTGGAAAAGCAGAACTTCCCTGCAGGCTGCCCCCGCGGGACCACCTCGGCTGTTTCTCTTGGTCTGAAAGAGGAGACAAAGTCACTAAGGACTGTGCTGCCCCGCCAGCTGCCCTTTCCTGCCAGCTCAAACCTCCTCTCCCTTCTGAGGAGAGCCACATGGAGGCAGACTGCCCGCTCAGAGCTTGAGGGGCTCATCCCGGTGGCCTCCCACTGGCCAGCGGGTGCCGCACAGCGCGCTTCCTGTCGCCAGTCCCTGTCCCATGTGAACATCCCCTTGGGAGAATTCTGTGTTCTCAGAGGCATTAATGCTTCCCCTTTCACCTACAGATCCTCTGGGTAGAGCTAGTTCATTCCTTGCGCTCTAAGCTAATAAAATCTGCTCCCCACCCTGCAGAGGAGGAAAATGAACTAACCCGAAAAAGTGGAAACATGTTTCTGATCAGACCCTGTGAGATGTGAAGTCCATGTGATTATGTAATCAGGGCATTGTTTTGTTTTTTTAATTATTAAAAGCTCATTGAAAAACCATTTAGGTAACGTAGAAGTATACAGATTGAAAGTAGCAGTCCATCCAAAAGAGCATACATGAAGATTTACGGTGCCCTTTTAGTTACGTTTTTTATCTGTGTCTTCAGTTCCCTAAATCTTCTTGAGGTTGGCACCACTTTGAAACTTGAGCCTCCTGTGTGATAGACTTGCTGTCTTTTCTGATATTCCCCAAGCCTTAGTTTTCCTTATTTGTAAAATAGGGCATATTTTAATACTTACTTCTGAAGATTGTTGCAATAATGACATGGGGTCATGTATACAAAGTGTTTAGCGCAGTGCTGCAGTCTTTGTGCTCAGATGCACATTTTATTACTAATGCGTAACAGGAGTCTTCTGCTCATTTCTAGGTGGCCTTTCTGTCTAATGAGTAAATTTCACTTTTCTCTTTCCTTTCTTCACCAGGAAGATGTCATCAACACTCAGTGTGGCTATGATGCCAGGCAAAAACCAGTAAGTGGAATCTCATCTTGTTGCTTAGCACAAAGGGTGTTGGAGGAGCTTTGGCCTGTGCCTGGTGCTCTATCTGTGACAGTGTGCTCTCCTCTTCCCTTGTGAAGGAAGTTGACCAGCAGATTGTAATCTACACGAAAGGCTGTGTGCCCCAGTTTGAGAAGTGGTTGCAGGACAATTTAACCATCGTTGCTGGTATTTTCATAGGCATTGCGTTGCTGCAGGTAAGATAAGGGTCCTTTATGGATAATCACAGGGAAATAATGCCCTGGGAGAGCCCTTGCCAGGATCAGAGCTTTGCTTAAAAACCTTGGTTGTCATAGTATTTAAGACACATTGGAGGGCTGAGGAACAGACCTAAACGATTTGGTGGGCATTGTGTTTTTATTTATTTATGAATGAGACAGAGTCTAACTCTGTTGCCCAGGCTGGAGTGCAGTGGCATGATCTCGGCTCACTGCAAGCTCCACCCCCGGGTTCACGCCATTCTCCTGCCTCAGCCTCCAGAGTAGCTGGGACTACAGGCGCCTGCCACCACATCTGGCTAATTTTTTGTATTTTTAGTAGAGACGAGGTTTCACCATGTTAGCCAGGATGGTCTCGATCTACTGACCTTGTGATCTGCCCGCCTCGGTCTCCCAAAGTGCTGGGATTACAGGCATGAGCCACCGTGCCCGGCCTGGTTTGTGTTTTATTAAAGCTCTGAGTTTAGATGCTACTATCATGAAATACTTTAGGAAAGCTTGTCTTTTTCTAAGATGGAGACATTAATTAGATCAGTAGTTGCCTGCAGGCATTCCATCGTTTACATGGGTTCAATAATACTGCATTGTGGCAACTGAGTCAAACATGCATAATTAGAAGTAGATCTCAGTGGTGACGTGAAGGTTTTGGGGAGTTTCACAGAGATGTCATAACCCTTTCTCTCCCTGAACCACCTTGCCAAAGTGCTAGTGAAGGAAGGGAGCACCAACTTTTCCTCCTAGCCAGTCTCAAGAGCTGGACTCTTCATGTTGTTGGTGTGATCCTTTCCTAAGAGCACATAGTTGAAACGAATTAAAGAAGACCTAAGTAAATATAAAGATATCCTGTGTTCACAATTGCAACACTTCATATTATTAAGGTAACAACACTCCTCAAGTTGATCTACAGATTCAGTGTAATCCCTATCAAAATTGTAACCACTTGTTAGCAAAAATGGACAAGCTGATCCTAAAATTCCTGTGGAAAAGCAAGGGACCCATAATAGCCAAAACAAATTTGCAAAAGTAAAACAAAGTTGGAGAATTCGCACTACTCAATTAAAAACTTAGTACAAAGCTATACAGTAATCAACATAGTGTGTACTTGAGTAAGATTAGCCATATAGATAAGTGGAATAAAATTCAAAAATCAAGAAATAAAACCAGGCCAGGTGTGGTAGCTCATGGATGTAATCCCGCACTTCAAGAGACCAAGGCAGGAGGATGACTTGAGCCCAGGAGTTCAAGACCAGCCTGAGCAACATAGCAAGACCTTGTCTCTACAAAAAGTAAAAATAAAAAAATGAGCCCAATGTGGTGGCACATGCCTGTGGTCCCAGCTACTTGGGGGGCTGAGAAGGGAGGACCACTTGAGCCTGGGAGGTTGCCGTGAGCTGAGATTACACCATTGCACCTTAGCCTGGGTGACAGAGCAAGATCCTGTCTCAAAAATAAAAAATAAAAAAGAAGAAGAAGTAAGCTCATACATGTATGGTCAGTTGATTTTTGACAAGGGAACCAAAACCATTCAATAGGGAAGGAGCAGTCATTTCAACAAATGGTACTGGGAAAACTGGATATGCAAAATTATGAATTTAGACTCCTAACTCACGCCATATGTAAAAATTAACTCACAGCAAAGACCTAAATATAAGAGCTAACACTATAGAACTCCAGAGGAAAACGTAGGCATAAATATTTGTGACTTTGGATTAAGCAGTGTCTTCTTAGATATGACATCAAAAGCATAAGCAGCGACACAAATGTAAATAAATGGAACTTCAAAATTAAAAACTCTGCTGAAAATGATACCATCAAGAACGTGAAAAGATAACTCCTAGTGTCTATAAAATATAAATAACTTTTCAAACTCAACAATAAAAAGGGCCGGGCGCAGTGGCTCACGCCTGTAATCCCAGCACTTTGGGAGGCTGAGGCGAGCGGATCATGAAAAAAAAAGATCGAGACCATCCTGGCTAACACGGTGAAACCCCGTCTCTACTAAAAATGCAAAAAAAATTAGCTGGGCGTGGTGGCAGGCACCTGTAGTCCCAGCTACTCTGGAGGCTGAGGCAGGAGAATTGCGTGAACCCGGGAGGCAGAGCTTGCTGTGAGCTGAGATCGTGCCACTGCACTCCAGCAGCCTGGGGGACAGAGGGAGACTCCATCTAAAAAAAAAAAAACATTTAAATGGCTAATAAGCACATGAAAAGATGCCCATGTCAGTAGTCATTAAGGAAATGCAATTCAAAGCCACATACTTCATACTCTTTGAAGTGATTAGAATGAAAAAGACGGACAATAATAAAGTATTGGCAAGGATGTGGAGAAAAGGAAACCCTCATGTGTTGCTGATGGAAATGAAAATGTTGCAACCTCTTTGGGAAACAATTTAGCAGTTTCTCAAAAGTTAAATATACAGATACCATATGAGTCAGCAATTCTACTCCTAGGAGTGTACCCAAAAGATTTGAGAACATATTTGCCCAAAAACTTGTATGCTCGTGTTCATAGCAGAATTATTCATAATTGCCAAAATGTGAGAGCAATGCAAATACCCATCAACTGAGGAGTAAACAAAATGTGGCATATCCATGTCGTGGAATATCATTCAGCCATCCAAAGGAATAAATTAATAGTACATGTGTATGAACCTTGAAAATATTTTGCTACATGAAAAAGACAGTCACAAAAGCTCCATATTATATGATTCCCTTGATATGAAATGTCCCGAAGAGGCAAATCCATGGAGGCAGGAAGTGGAATAGTGGTTGCCAGGTCTGTAGGGACGGTGGGATGGGAATGGGAAGTGGAATAGTGGTTGCCAGGTCTGTAGGGACGATGGGATGGGAATGGGAAGTGGAATAGTGGTTGCCAGGTCTGTAGGGATGGTGGGATGGGAATGACTGCTCACAGGTACTGGGTTTCTTTTCGGGGTCATGAAATGTTCTGTGATTAGATAGTGGTGATAGTTGCATAGCTTTGTGAATGTAGTAAGAGCCACTGAATTATACACATTGCAGGGATGCTCTTTACCACATATGAATTACATCTTAAATTTCAAAAATCAACAATTTTTAAAAAATGGGACACAGTGGTCAGGAGTAAAAGTTACAAGTGTCACTGTTTGACTCACATTTTCTTCCTTTTTCAGATTTTTGGGATATGCCTGGCCCAGAATTTGGTTAGCGATATCGAAGCTGTCAGGGCGAGCTGGTAGAGCCCCTGCAGCCGCTGCTGCAAGACACTGGACAGACCCAGCTTTTGGGACCCTCCCACGTGCCGAACTCATCTTCAAGCTGCACGGACCTCATCACAGATGCAGCCCGCAGTCTCGCCTAATGGAGCTGCCATTCGTGGGGTAAAACTGGGAAATGCTGCTCACTGACAGAATTAAAAAACAAAAATAACCAGTATGAAAGTCGTTGCGCCGTGAATCTCTACTGTAGCCATGAATTTATGGACAGTTGGATGCTTACCAAAAAAGAAAAAAAGGGAGGGTGGGGGACCCAGATGTACTTGAATGTGCGGAAAATGCAGTCTTGTCCTCATCTTCCGTAACTGGAGGGGCTGGGAAGGCAGCTTTGCTCTTCGCCACACCTTGGACGGACCACCTTCTGTTCCATGGTCTGAAGGAATGCATCTCCTCAAAGACTCAGCCCCTCACCTGGGAGGGCAGTGGTTTGTCGGCATCCCTCCACATAGGTTTTAGGAAACACGTGCCACTCTGATCTGAAGAAGAAAACAACTCGTCTTGGGTTCAGATTTTGTGATGGTATTCAAGTCACTCGGGCGAGCGCACTTGGTCTATCCTGGAAAGTCTCCTTATAACAGAAGTTGTGTATTTCATGTGCACCGAGCAAGGGCATTGGAAGACTTCATGAGGCTGTATTCTAGCAGGACTGCTCTTTTTTCTAAGTAGGCCTGAGCTTTATCAGTGAAATTCAAGGAGAAAATGAGGTTAATGAAGGAGGTATCAGTTGAATACCCCCTTCTTCTCACCCTGCCAAAATTAGCAGTTGAATTTTTGGAAACTCTGGAATACTCTGGGTCATTTTGTTTTGTATGTTTGTTGTTTTTCGTCTTCCAAAGGTGAAAGCTATGATATGGTTCCACTTAAATTTTAGTGTTTTCTTACTCAGCTCAAGCATTAATTTTTGATAAAATCTTAACCTGCATGACCTGTGAATCTGAATCTATCATCTCCCTTTCCTGCCGGCTTTTCTACAAACATTGAAATATGTTATTTGGTCAACACTTATTTCCTAGGTTCCTTGGGAGGTTGTGGCATGTCCTCCCAGCCTGGCTGGGAAGAGACCAGCTGTACCATTCAAATGCTTCCCTGGTCTCAGTGATCTCTTCCAGAGTCGATCTGAGTGGCCTCTTCTGCACCCTCCCCTTCTTTCTCTTTGAATGGAATTAAACCCGATTTTGAAACAACATTGACCCAGTCAAAAGCTACTAATGATTTCTTTTTCTTCCTCTTTAGTTTGCTTTTATTAAAAAAAGAAAATAGTGCATGGCCATAGCTCCTTCAGTTCTCTTATTGCAGACTAACCATCAGGATGGTATCAAAGCACAAATACTTTGGAGGGGAATGCGTTGAACTGGGGCAAGTACTGTGTAACACAAAGTGGAAAACCACTTCCTGGTGCTGCCGCTCCTGCCCCCACTTTAGGTGGGAGGAACGAGTTTTGCCCTCTAGATTTTAACCCAGCTGGTGTCCACCGGATGTTGCCCTCCTGGGGAGCAGATATCAGTCTGTGGAACGCTGGGAAAACCACAGGCACATTTTTTGGTGCGGACAGAATTGCCAGCACATAACTGGGCAGCCAGCTAGCATACTTTGTGGAAATTAAGCGAGGTTTTCCATTTCAGCCCCATGGTGCGTGGTGGTGGCTGATGAATATGTCAGTCTGCTCAGAGAAAGGACAGAAAGGAAATTCTTTTCAAAACTGTGTTCACAGTTTGGGTGTGTGTATGGCTCTGCATGTGTGTGTTTTTGTCTCTGTATAGGTAGAGGTGTTCACGTCTTACTCCGACCGTAAGGTTGTCTGACTTCATCTCTGCCCCCACCACAGTTGCCATTTTGTAATGTCCTTCCAACATGGAGAAGACACGAGCTCTCCAGTTGGCATCGTTTGTCTTTTTTGTTGATTGCCTCATTCTCCATTGAACTCCATCTGGCCAGTTGATTCAGAATCAGGCAAGATCCCTGCCCTTTGGCACATTCACTGAAAGGCCAAACAGCAAGTCCGAGTGAGTTTTAAATATTAATTAATCACCCTTTATTTTTTACACTTTGAGAGTGATTGTAATAAAGGCTGTCATTAATAAACTTGGTTCTACCTTACATGGAGTTGTATCTTTCTTCATTACTTCTTTCTTGAAATTGTGAAAGTTTCGAATCCAGTGGTTCTCCAACTTTAGCAGGTGTCAGAATCACTGGGAGGACTTGTTAAAACACATGAGTGCATTTGCTCCATGCCCATAATTTGTAACTTAGTAGGTCTGGGGTGCGGCTGGAGAATTTGTATTCTGGTAAGATCGTAGGTGATGCTGTTTGCGGCTCGTTTGGGAACTACATTTTGAGAAGCATTGTTCTGATCCGGTTTTCTAGGAGGGGAAACAGAAAGGTAAGATTTTGTAGTTGGGAAGGGAAAGGTTCCTTTGTACTTACAAATGCTGACTGACAAGACACAGAGATGAGAGCCCTGTATGTAGGAAATCTCTGCCCATGAGGTCATCTGCTGGTTACAATCACTTGGGGACCGTGTGAAATACAGATTCCCCCGACCTCACCCCTAGCAGTTCTGGAGTGGGAGACAGGGTATATATGTTTTAAAAGCTCCCTTGAAAATTTAATGCCTGGTGGGATTTATGACTTATGGGCTTAGATAAATGTTGATAATATTCACAACCTTTTTTATAAGAAAATAATTTCTCACAGTCCCTTGGAGCTGGAATCTTAAAAACCTATTAGAGGAATGTCAGCTTAAATGTCTTTCATTGTGAATTATCACTGCAGAAGACGACTTCTGTCGTTAGAACTGATTAAAGACTTTTTTCAAAGATCAAATGAAAACAAATGTTAAGGTTCATATAGCACACTTAGATCCTGACAGCATAGTGTCAGACTTGTTCAAGAAATATTTTGCCTCATTTCTCATCTATTTGAAACAACAATGTTATTTTGATTTTAAGGAAATTTATCAGTGATGATTGGAGATGGCCAATCCCTGCTTCTTGAGTTTTCTTATTGTCTACATTGGCCCGCTTTGCTTGTTGCAAACTATAGGCTAACAAAGGAGAAAAAACGACAGCTCAGAAGTAAAAGGATGCTTTGTCTATAAAACTCAAAAACTTGGAGGAAGCTTCTTCAGTGTGTAGAAGGTAGACTTTAGGGGAAGCTTATTAAATTTCCCTATTTCTGTTGTTGGACTGGTTACCACTAACATCATTTCTTCTATAATTTAAAAATATACAGTTTTTAAATGTGAACTCAGAAATTAAACAGAATTTTGCATCATGAAGTACTTAAGTGCATTTCCTTTGTTCTTCCTCTTCCTTCTCCCAGGGAATAATAAACCCGGACTTTTCTTTCAGCCTTCCTCCTGCCACAGGTCCCAGTTGTCCTTTCCTCAAGGGGATCCTTGAAGTGTCTCTTGGAGGTTTCTTATGCAAAGTGATCATTCATTTCCCTGTGTTTGTGTGGGCAGGAATGGAGTGATTTTGCAGTTTCGTCTGTTTCCGGCTGACTTGGACAGGCGCCCTGGGAAGCCTGTGGGCTGAACAATGAGGAGCTGGAGCCCAGTGACCTGGCAGGCCACCCTAGCTCTCCTTGTCATTTATTCCACGAAGCCCTCCTTCTCTAGGGAAATCCTGTTTAGACCTCCAATGAAGAACTGGGAAGCCCTCCATAAACACTGGCCAGCAGGGTTTCATGGCCAGCGCACTCTCCCGTGAGGCCATGGGGCTGCTTCTAGGTGCTGCCCGCTTCTGGAGTAAGAAGCCTAGTCTTTGAGTGAGGAGGAAAACACAGCATTTGCCTGAAAAATACATGAACATTGGCTTTATCATGATGACACAATAAAATCCATAGAAAAACCTACACATGATAACAGACAAGGCAGTCAGATGGTGGGGGGTGGGGGGTGTGTGGCAGCAGGGAGCAGGGCAGAGAAGCCAAACTGTGAACTTGGAGCAGAGCCATCCTTAGACTTTTTGTTTGGAGGGGTTTGCCACACAGAGTTTATAATATTACAGTTTTAGGCCAGACAAGGTGGCTCACACCTGTAATCCCAGCACCTTGGGAGGCCAGAGCAGGAGGATTGCTTGAGGACAGGAGTTCAAGACTAGCCTGGGCAACATAGCAAGACCCCATGTCTAAAAAAAAAATTTTTTTTTTTTTTTTAATTAGCTGGACCTGGCGTCATGCACCTGCACTCCCAGCTACTCTGGGGGCTGGGGCAGGAGGACAGCTTGAACCCAGGAGTGATGTATGATAGCACCACTGTACTCCATCCTGGGTGGCAGAGCAAGACCCCGTCTCTAACTTAATAAAAATAAAACTACAGTTTTTAGGACTTCTTGAGGGATTAAGTACAGCTTGTTGTGGAGTTTTCATGCTGAGTGGTTCTCTTGTAAACTTGCCACTAGCGAGAGGACGCTGATTTAGTCCCTTCCTGTTATCCATTAGCCGAGGCTAAACCTCTGGGGACCCGCACTGGCCATTGTGATTTATTTCTCCACTTCTAGGAACTCCCAAGTAAAGTAAATCTAAGGGAAGAGCAGGCGAGTTCACGGGCTTTCACTGTAAATATACCCCGAAAGGAAAGCAGTAGCAGGCTTCCCACGCTCTTGCCCCTCACCGAACACATTCTCAGTGGGGGAAAGCTACTTTTCAGATGTGGAGCGGACCGTCAGGTGCAGTGTCAGCTCTTGCATTTGCAGAGCAACTCGTTTGAACGGGAACGTTTTAATGGCCTGCCCTCTAGTGTCGAATGCGTAAAACCACTCCGGACTGGAGTTGGAATAGTTCAGGGATAAAAACACTATGTTCAGAGGCGCTTGTGCTTTGGAGAAACTTGAAGGTACACAGCTTATGTTGCCTGCTTAGGGCGAGTAGGTGTTTTATTTCCTTTACACGCTCCTGAAAAATGGCAAGGCTTGTTTTGGAAAGATAAGAGAACAGGACGTTTTGCTCCCATCACCCTCCATCCTGCTTGGGATCTTGCTGCTGGGAGTTGATCAGGCAGGGTGGAGCTGGGCCCTGCCCTCCCACCAGTTTCCAAATGTGGTTTCTAGATGATGATGGTGACTGTCTAAAGCTGCTCATCTTCCAGGCGAGGCATTGTCCTAACGGAGTCCTCACTGGGGCTGGGAGGGCAATGCTCTGCACCCTCCCTCCCAGGGACCACCACCCTCCATCGGAACTTCAGAGGTTTTTGTGACAAAAGGCCCCAGGACCCTGGTTTGCACTTCAGTTCCTCTTCAACATAAGCAACTCTCCAGAAACAAGGAATAGAACATCTTTATATTTCTTCTAGAACCACCAGTGTGTTACTTCTACACACTGTACTTAGAAGTACACACATACATGCATACATACCACCGGTGTGAATCACCTGGATTTTGCTTTGGTCTTGTCAGAAGCATTTGAACCACAACAACTCCATTGTGAATAGGACCTGGGTAACATGAGGCTGAAACCTACTGGGCTATGTTCCCAGATGGCTAGGCGTTCTAAGTCACAGGATGAGATAGAAAGTTGGCACATGACACGGGTCATAAAGACCTTGCTGATAAGACAGGTTGCAGTAAAGAAGCCTACCAAAACCAAGATGGCAATGAGAGTGACCTCTGGTCGTCCTCACTGCTACACTCCCACCAGTGCCATGACAGTTTACAAATGCCATGGCAGTATCAGGAAGTTACCCTACACGGTCTAAAAAGGGGAGACATGACTAATCCACCCCTCATCTAGCACATCATCAAAAAATAACCATAAAAATGGGCAATTAGCAACCCTCAGGACTCCTCTGTCTATGGAGTAGCCATTCTTTTATTCCTTTATTTTCTGAATAAATTTGCTTTCACTTTATAGACTCACCCTGAGAATGGCTTGAGCCCAGGAGTTTGAGACCGGCCTGGACAACATAGTGAGACCCTGTACCTACAAAAAAAAAAATTCTGATTGGTGGACATGGTGACATGAGCCTATAATTCCAGCTATGTGGGAGGCTGAGATGGGAAGATTGCTTGAGCCTAGGAGATGGGAGGCTGCAGTGGGCCATGATTGCACTGCTGCATTCCAGCCCGAGCAACAGAGCAAGATCCTGACTCAAACAAACAAAAACCATAAAAAAGAAATCAGCTGGGTGCGGTGGCTCACGCTTGTAATCCCAGCACTTTGGGAGGCTGAGGCGGGCGGATCATGAGGTCAGGAGATTGAGACCATTCTGGCTAACACAGTGAAACCTCGTCTCTACTAAAAATACAAAAAATTAGCCGGGTGTGGTGGCGGGCACCTGTAGTCCCAGCTACTTGGGAGGCTGAGGCAGGAGAATGGTGTGAACCCAGGAGGCAGAGCTTGCAGTGAGCCGAGATCACACCACTGCACTCCAGCCTGGATGACAGAGTGAGACTCCATCTCAAAAAAACAAACAAAAAATCGACATTTTGTGGGACATTTTAAACATAAAGAAGGCTTTATTATGATTAAGTCATGGTCTGTATTCTGTATTTATTTGAAGTAAATTATCTTAAATTCAACTTGTTAGAGTGATTCAAGTTTTATAAAGAAAATAGCCTATTTCCACACTTGTGCTGTCTTTAGTCTTGTTACTTTGCGACTGAATCAGCCCACTAGTTCTCTGACTGCCTGCTGCAGGCTGGGTACTAGGGGTGAATATATCATCTATCCCTTGAAATAACAGGTCACATTTATTGACTAGAAGTGTTCCAGGCACTGTGTTATAAGCATGCTGCATAAGTTCCTAAGGAAATGTCAACTGATGGAGGGGAAAACCCCACACGTGGAAAATCCACTTCAAGAACTAAACTGACATTCCTCAAAATGGTGCCTGGTTGAGCTACGGGAAGAACACAGGGGTTAATGGAAGATGGTCTCAAGAAGGAGGAGAGGTTTGATCTGGGCCCCTGGGGAGGGTGGAGGGGGCCATAATAAAGCCTATGCCGCTGGGGAGGTTGGAGAGGGCCCAGAACCTCCAGACGAAAGAGTGGGGGAAAGCTCAGGTAAGCAGTAAGAAGGTCCAGTATAGAGAGTCTTGGAATTGTGGCCCAGTCCTTGGCATACGCCAGGCACTCGAAGGCTTGCTGAATGACAGCAGT